ATAAAGTTTGGAAGAATGAACCCTAACACTTGTCTATCCTCTGCTTAGAAACCCGTCCTTTTAGTGAGTTCAGCACTGCTAAGTCATTACTAAGGCTTAACTTGTAGATCACCTGCCAGTGTGATCAGTCAGCTGCTCCAGAGAAACACTGTCTGAAGGCACTACTTCAATTTTAATTTATTTTTTTATTTAATTTATTTTTTTAATTGAAGGATAAAATTGCTTTACAGAATTTTGTTGTTTTCTGTCAAACCTCAACATGAAGCAGCCATAGGTATACATATATTCCCTCCCTTTTGAACCTCCGTCCCATCTCCCTCCCCATCCCGTCCTTCTAGATGGATAGAGTCCCTGTTTGAGATTCCTGAGACATTCAGCAGATGCCCCTTGGCGATCTATTTTACATATGGTAATCTAAGTTTCCACGTTACTCTTTCCGTACAAATCACCCTCTCCTCCCCTCTCCCCATGCCCATAAGTCTATTCTCTATGCCTGTTTCTCCATTACCACCCTGTAAATCAGTTCTTCAGTACAGTTTTTCTAGATTCTGTATATGTGAGTTAGAATACAATATTTTTGTTTTTAATAAAAACGGAAATGAAACGTTGTTCGTCTGCTGGGCACCAGCTGTGTGTGCTGAGTGTAAATAGTCACTTAGTCATGTTACACCCTTTGCGACCCACGAACTAGAGCCCGCCAGGCTGCTCTGACCACGGGACTCTCCAGGCCAGAGCTCTGGAGTGAGCTGCCGTGCCCTCCTCCAGGTGATCTCCTCAACCCAGGGACCGAGCCCAGGCCTCCCACATTACAGGCGGGTTCTTTACCAGCGGACTCACCAGGGGAGCCCAGGTACCAGTTATATACATCTGATAACGGTACTAAAACTCTGCATTAAATAAACAGTCTTTGATTCCATTTTCTTTAAACCCCTCATCATATTTTTTCTAAGAGCATTTCTGAATGATATTTTAAATAGGAGGGAAATAGTTGTATAATAGGACATTTATTAGCAGATCTGTATAGCATGCAATCTATCCTAAAAAAAAAAAACAAAAACAAAAGGCTAGGGCTTTGGAGAAAAACACAGAAAATAATTTTCACTCCTGGCACCAACATTTGTTAACCATGTAATTTTGGACTCATTACCTAATTTCATGGAGTCTTTTTGTTAAAAACCTTGGATAATGATACCTTCTTCTCCGGTCTGTGATAAGAATGAGAGAAAAATACAGGCGGCTGGCAAAAAGTAGGGCACAACTGAAGCGGTTTAGCACACACATAAAAACACCAGCACATAAATGGAAGGAAGTCAATAAATTGTGGCAAAACAATCATAATTGCTATGATTAATATAATTATGAAAAGGCAAACAGAATTTCTAAAGGTTGCGGATCTACCAAACCAGTGTGTGCAAGTTCAAATACAGACGCCACCCGAGATGGGCCACACCCATGTGAGATGTTGGTTGGATCCCCTTGTTGGGGATCTAAACCGACAAGTTACCTGATCTTATGAGGCTTATAGACTCTTGGAATATAGACAGATAGATAGCGGCATAGAATGTAGGACAAAAATGTAATGATACCTGCAACAATGCAGTTGAAGTTTTGGTCTGTCAGGAGAGGAAATGATGAGAGGAAAGGTCAGGTGGTTCTTGACAAACTTAAGGAGTGCTCATCAATGTGCAGAGTAAAATATAATGTAGGAGGAATAAAAGTCTGCTTTTCATAATCAGATGTGGGGCAGTTCTGGGAACTGATCAAATTCGGGCTGGTCATGAGAGTGGGCACCTGCGAAGCAGTGGGACTGAAACCACAGGATGGACGAGATCGTCCCTCCAAGGAAGCACCGGTCCAGGGGCGCACTGACCTGACTTCATCATGGAGCTTCATCCTCATCAGGGTGCAAGCAGAGGTGCTTCTGCTTCTCTAAAAGGAGTCAGCCAGAGGCTGGATTGGAGTCGCAGTGAAGTGTGCCTAAGTGTGTGTGTGAATACACATGTGAAGTATGTATCAGTGTATGTGGTGTGTGTGTGTGTGTGTGTGTGTATATACACATATATACATATAAGTGTATACGTTACTTATGTATATATGTGCTTTAAGTATATACAAATAATAACAATAGTAATGATAACAAAATAACAATAATAAAGCATTTAAGGTTTCTGAGTATTTGAGTTCAGGCTACAGTGCAAAGGGTTTTTCATATATTAAACAACTTTCACAGCAAATAAGACAGAGATACCATTATCTCAGTTAACAGATGCCCGCTAGTTGACATAAAGAGGCAGGGGGGAAGTGCCTGGGACTGGACCCCAGCAGCCCAGCTCCAAAGTCAGTGTTCCCAGCTCACACCGGGCTCCCTCCCAACCACACCTTACTGTAATCCAGCGCTTCCCACATGCCAGGCTCTGATAAGCACCTAACATCCATACATCACTGGACCCCTACAACTCTCTACTTTGGTTCATTAGGTAGTTGTTGCCAGATTGTTTCTTTCTCTTCTGCTTTATCTCCGCCCGCCCCCCCTCCCCCCCCTGGCAATGAAAAATATTTTTAATTGAGAACTGTCACATAAAATTCTCCACCTGAGGTTTCTCCTGACCCAGTACAAGGTTGGGTGGCCCTCCGTCCCCGCCCCACCACTGCCAGCCGCTGGCAGGCGCAGCCTCCTGTATGTGGGCCCTGACGCGCCCGCCTCCCGCGGTCCTCACCACGGCCCGCCGCCGACATCTGACGGCTTGCATGTCCCTGTCTGAGCACCGAGGCTGTCTGGGCACATGACCCTTCAGGCCAGAAGCTCTGTGCGGTAAAAAGGAGGTGACCGCAGAGATGAGACGGCGCACTCACGCCGCTTCGTTCAGCCCCTCATCCACCACGGGTAAGCTCCCGTTTTCTTAATCTCTTTAAGCCTCATTTTTCTCAAATCTAAAGTAGGGTTACTAATAGGACTTAACTCAGAGTGTTATGAAATAATTAACTAAGATGCTGCATGAAAAGAATTAAGTTTAGGATTCAGTGATGGTTTTTTATTGCTGTCTTTTATTACGAGCCACTGGAAGCCGAGGCCCACCAGGACCGCAGTCCAGATGAGAGGAACAGAAGAGGCTGTGGCCTGCACCGAGAAAGGCCTGTGGCCTGCATCGAGAAAGGCCTGTGGCAGAGGACAGAACCAACTTTACAACGGCCCGTTTCCCAGACGGAAGTACTGTCCAGCGACGCCCAGAAAAAGAGCTACTCCAGTGGGTGCAGACAAACCTAGGCATCCTTTGTGGGTTTGTCTGCCTCAGTGGATCCCCCTGTGGAGCTGAAATGCTGGATCGTGATGAAGCTTTGAATTACATTTGTGAGTAATTCCACTTTCCCAGGCTTGCCGTCAGGGATCCACGATTTCCCCGTTAATGAGTACATCCTTCAGGTTCTCACAGCCCTTCTTTACGACCTGTCTGCCAGGACACCGCAGTAATCTAGACCCTCAGTTATGAACTCTACATATAGTTGAATAATTAACCTCTTTGCCTGCAATCTGTCACCATACTCAGTCCCAGTGATAAACAGCTCAGTGATAAGAAACAGTCTTGAAACATCCCTATATGCATGGTCTCTGTGAAGCTTTGCCTTTGTGCCATAGCCTGCAGAACAGAATCTAAATGCACTAGCCATGACTGGGGCCTGAGGCATAGGGGGTGCGGCTCAGCATGTCAGCCCCTGTTGCCTGCAGAGATTTTTGTGCTCTGGCGTATCCTGGGCTCTATATCAGCACTGAGCTGATCAGAATGCCCTTCGATCTCCTAAAGACATCAGCGTCCACATCATTTTAGCCAAATTCTACACTGCTATCACACTGAGGCCCTGAACCACTGTGCCGGGGTTTTATATCGGAAGTTGGCCAGCAAACTTTCTCCCTAAAGGGCCAGAGAGTAAACACGTCTGGCTTTGCAGGCCATGATGTCTGTGCTGACACTGCTCAACCCTGATCCAGGGCAAAAGAACACTGGTACAGACAACGTGCACAGACATGGGAGGAGCCACATGTCAAAACTTTATGATGGCACTGGGATGTAAACTTCATGTCATGATTCACGGGTCATGCAATACTTTTCTTTTGAAGTTTCCAAACCACTTAAAACCATACAAAACATTCTCAGCTTGGGGGCTGTGCAAAACAAGCAGAGGCCATGGTACATTGTGATTTCCAACCATATTTTATATGCATACTGGTCCTGGATCCACAGCTTCCTTTTCATTTTTTTATTGAGGTATGACTTACCTCAAGTGTGCCAACCTTAAATAAATAGTCTAATAAATTTTGACTTATGCATACAACCATGTCCACATCACACAGTTTGAAATATGAAACTTTCCCACGATCTTCAATAAGATCTGCTTCTATAAGACATGCCCAATCTCCTTGTGTTATAAAAGCAGACTCTATATTTCCTGAAAGGAGATCGAATCAGTCCATCCTAAAGGAAATCAGTCCTGAATATTCATTGGAAGGACTGATGCTGAAGCTGAAATTCCAATACTTTGGCCACTTGATGCGAAGAACCGACTTACTGGAAAAGACCCTAATGCTAGGAAATATTGAAGGCAGGAGGAGAAGGGGACGACAGAGGGTAAGATGATTGGATGGCCTCCCTGACACGATGGACATGAGTTTGGGTAAACTCCAGGAGTTGGCGATGGATAGGGAGGCCTGGCATGCTGCAGTCCACGGGGTCTCAGAGAGCCGGACACGGCTGGGCGACTGAACTGAACTGAACTGATATTTCCTGTCAATAGGCCTGGATTAAAGAAATGGGGGTACTGATGCTGTACTACCAAACTTCTACAGAGCAGTGTATTTTTAAAGGAAACTTCAGATACCATTAATCATTACAACCACATGGAAGTCAAGTTTCTGGTGACGGGTGATATCTGATGAGAACCCCAAAAGGCAGTCTGGGAACACACGTTCCTTTTTCCGGCGGGCTGCCCACGCCGCACCTCCTTACCCGGGCCAAGGTGAGCGTTGCTTGTTGGCAGGTGGTACACCGCGCCCTGAGCTTTCCCGGCTGCACTCCTTGACACGGGCCTTTGCAGTAGACATAAAAGCTGTTGTAGGTGGGTCTACCTGCTGGGAAGACAGGCAAAAGGAGTAACCAGTCAACGCAGAATCCACACTGAGACTTAACTCCTCCTGAACATTTTGAAACATTAGTAGGATAAGTGTTACAGTGAAGATCCAACAATTAAATTTAGGAAATGCAATTTTTTGCTCAAAAGAGTGAAACATTTTTCCTTCTTCTTGCCAAGAGCCCTGTGACTTACTCAGCAAAGTAGCAAGCAGCCTGCTGCTGGGAGAGCTGGCTAAGGGTATCTGCAACACAAGGAAATTAATCGCATACTTTGCTGTTGACACCTTTAAAAGGGTGACGATGTAGGACCATTTGAAATTTAGAGGCCCCTGCTCCCGAATTTTATTTCGTGCATCTTTACCCAGTTTTGAAGGCTTCTCGTTTTTCCTCTTAAACTTGTATCTTTTAGCCCACTTCTCATGATTTGAATGGTATGATCACAGTTTGCTGAGTTTCCAATGAAGACTTTCCAACACAAAGTCACACACAAAATAAAACACAAGCCCTAAGGGCCTTAGCAGACTCAGCAATCCTGTGCAGAAATGGGTGCTTTGCGTTTCATGAGTGCCCTCTGTCTAGACAAATGTCATTCAAATAATACATGCAAAAGCTGGAAAAACATTTAGAAAAAGATAATTAAACATCTCTGATCATTTCTCTCAAACACCCCCATACAAGATAGTATTAGCCTGTGAACTAGGGGAATTTGCTTTTGAATTGCTTACCTCTACATCTACAAAAGCCAACTGTATCCAGATATACTTACCAGTAAAATAACCAACTTCCAAATTTCTAAAATTACTAAATAGTCCTTTTGGTCTTCACTTTACTTCTTAATAGGTGGGGTATCATAAAATGTCATGACATAAGGATTTGTTTAAAATTTTACTATTAGCATTAAGAACATCTACAAATTATGAATAGTAAACACGGTTTATCATTAAGAGCAAAAACTTTGAGACAGTCAAACATGTGTGGTTTAGTAAAAACAAATAGTATAGGCAATGACGAGAAAACAGAAATGATCCTAAAGTCTGATGCAACTCTGCTTTGCTAACTTCCAAAAAGGGGCTCTGCAGATATATTCAAGTGTCATTTGTCTAGTAGCCATCTCTACTAACGTTGGAGGTGGCAATACACTGTAAACTGTAAAGCATAATAAAGATGTCAAGTTTTATAATTATTTTCTGGCAAGATACTTTGCAATTATGGATTATGAGATTAATATTTAGTTTCATTGTGAAAGGGAAGATGAATTATACATATATATTTGTGGTGATATGAGGCTAGTGATATGAAGCTATGGGTTATTTTAAAATATTTTTTGATACTGATTTCTAACATAATTCCACAGTGATAAGATAACAGACTTTATATGATTTCAATACCTTTAGACCATGGAAATTTTGCACCTTGTTGTATATCCCTGGGTATGTTCCAGTGTCTCCCAGCCCATGGGAACTTGAATAGAATCTATATTCTACTGTTGTGTGAATATTATATAAATCTTAATTATATTGAATCGGTTCACACTGCTTTTCAGTTCCACTTTGTTGCTATTGTTGTTTAGTCGTTCGATTGTGTCCAATTCTTTGTGACCCCATGGACTGTAGCCTGTCAGGCTCCTCTGTCCATGGGATTTCCCAGGCAAGAATACAGGAGTGGGCTGCCATTTCCTTCTTCAAGGGATCTTCCCAAACCATGGGTCAAACCCAAATTTCCCGCATGAGCAGGTAGGTTCTTTACCACGGAGCCATCAGGGAAGTTTTCAAGTCTACTATAGCCTTCTAAGACTCTGTATATTCATTCCAGTAATTTTTGAGAGTTTGATATTGAAATTCCAACTAACATCTTAATTTATCTAATAAAGATAATTTTAATGTATAGTAGAACTTTATATAACCTTCTTCTGTATTTTCCAAGTCTCCTGCGAATGTGTAATCATACTTTCATAACTTCTAAAGAAAAAAAATGTAAAGTGTGATAAAGATGTCAAGTTTTATAACTTTCATAATTTTATCACTTACTAGCAATATATTTTATAACTATTAATTTCCAGATATTAATATTAGCTTTAATGTGAATAGGAAGATAAATTATTTGTAGTGATATGAAGCTATGATTTTTGAGAATTCTTCGCAGCTTTAGGGCCTTGTTGTGCAAGATATTCAAGTCTATATGAGTATTATATAGCTATTAGCAAATACAACAATGACATAACACATATTCTTAAAGTTTTCTGTATATCATAAAATGCAACAGACAGAACCATATATTAAAGTTATCAAAATACCATAACAAGTGACAGAAGATCACAAGAACTCTGACAATTTTCGTGTGTACTATGACAAGAGCAGTGAAGGAGGAAAGAGACTTTATTGTTAAAAATTGCATCAGCAATACGAGCAAAATCAACTTACAATTTTCATAACCTACTGTAAAGGTTAAACCAAAAAAAAGGGGGTGGGGAGGGAGGAAGAAAAGAATGAAAGTAAGAAATGCTCACACAGGAGGCGGGGTGGGGTGCAGAGACACCAGTATTGTTGAAAGCACGTATTAGCAAGGACTTGACAATAGTAAATGAAGCATCTCAGAAACTGCAGGGAACTAAACGATTTTTCTCTCTCCCTTAGGGCAAGAGCAACGTTCGCAATATTGTTTCAGCTAATGATAGAGCCAGGCAGGATCTGAAGATTGGGACACCCACCTCTATGCACTACAACCTTCACTAAGGTCCTTGAGAAGTTAGGAAATACTGCATGCCGATGCGGGTGCCCTAGAAGCATACAAGATGACATGCAATCTATTACACAGCGCTTCTCAGAGCCAGCACAAGCTGGGGATTAATAGCCAGTCGAAGGAAGGATCAAGGTCAGGTCAGTCTTGGCTATGGCGCTTTTCAAGCTGTTGCCTCGACATGGTCAAGCAGCTGGGCCCTCCAGTAAACCCTGAAAGCCCTTTTTCAGGCGGCTTCCCCACCTACTTGGCTACATCACACCATCCCAAGCTGGCAAGCTTCTCTGGCACGCTGAGGTATGGAGTGCACAGGACAGAAATAAGCACAAATGACACCCTCACCATCTTCTGGGCAACGTTCCCACCGGCTGGATGGGAGCGTATAAGGTAGAGACTTAAAGATGGAGACATAACCCCTAAAGGAACAAGGCAATGGGAACAGTAACCCCCAGAACTTCTCTCTATGTATATAGCCGCCTCCAGTTAACAACATGAATTTTCCCCTCTCTTACTTCTTTTTGAATCTAATTTTTTTTCCTCTACTAATCAACTCTGACACATTGCAAACCCTTCACTGTCCAAAATAATCAAAGCACTTGTGTTTGTGTTATAGATTTCCCTCTTTACATATAATAAGTTTTCAAACCAGGAGATATTTCAAAAATCTTACAAACTATCACCTTACCTGCAATTCACTCATTATGAACATTTTCACATATTTTGAGTGCGCCCTGTGTGTGTGTGTACATACACATACGTACACCTATACTGTACATAAATAATACTTTTTGGCTGAATGGCTTACAGTTAAGTTGGAGACATGATGCTACTTCACCCCTCAATCGTCCAACATCCTAAAAACAACAAAGTTTTTAGAGAGATTTTGTTGTTTTCGCTGTGCTATACATTGACTGATGGGGTGTATTTCAACTCTCCCTTACAGAACATGAGGGGGCCTTGCAAGCTGTTGCAAGGTGTCAGAGCAAAGAATCAGGGAATCTGTAGTCAGACCATGCTAGGCGCTGCCAAGCTGAGGCAGTCCTCTCGCTGTGGGACCCCACAGCGTGTGAAGACAGCACATGCTGGGCACAGCACATCCCTGACTTTATCAGACTGCAGAAGAGTACCTTTTCTGGAGCATCTTGTGTTCATGTATTTCTCAGGGGGGAAAAAAAATTGGAGGAAGGATACAACCCACTGTGTAGGGCTTGATCAACAGCAAGCCCAAGGGGTTTATGAGCACAGAGGTATTAGACACCACGCTGAAGAGCCTGCTGACAATTAAGCTCACCCCTCCACCCCAAGTCATCCATAAACTTACATAATTATTTTGTCAGGAACCAGAAGGGTGGGTCTGTTGAGGTAATGATTTCATAAAGTGTACTCATTTCATTCAGATGTTCTTCCCCACCCTCCCACCCCGGATACATGTAATGGAATTTTCCAAGGCTAAAATACTGGAGTGGGTTGCCATTTCCTTCTCCAGGGCATCTTACCCTCCCAGGCATGGAACCCAGGTCTCCTGCATTGCAGGCAGACTCTTTACTGTCTGAGCTACCAAGGAAGCCCTAGCTAATGTGCAGGGCCCTGTTAAAGTGTGAGTCACTGTGTCCATTCAAAGCATCCCATAGGCTTTCTTAGCATTGTCATTTTATCATTATCTTCAGGTTTTCTCTCCCACTTTGCGTAACATTATGCTTCCTCAGGTATTTTCTCTTATTCTCTTTTCTTGTTTTCTTGGTCCAAAAAATGCCCAAAACATTAACAGTATTCACCGTCTATCCAGTAAAGTCTCTACTCAAAAAGAAGTACATTATTTGCTTTGGTGTTTTGATAAACCAGTATAATATGCAGTTTCCAGTTTTAGTGTATTTTAGATGATGGGCTTATGGCCTGAAGATGTTGTTTTTATAGGTTAAATGAATGCTTAAGAAAACTCATTCCGATTCTGACGAAAACTTTTCATTGACCTCACAAGTTTCTATCACCGGTTGTCATAGAGAAATTAAGAGTTTAATTGCCTGGATAATTTGTTTTCTAGGGGAGAAGAGAATTGAGTTTTCACGTACTTTATACCTGGGTAAGATAATGTTCGGTATCTATCCATTATAAAGCCGCAGGAGCACACGTGACTTAAAGTTATTTTTATCACATATGAGCTTATTAAAACATCAAGTAGATCAAGCTGCTCATGAGAACTTTCTGTGGGCAAGAAAATGTGAACCAACCAAAACTCTCTCACACAGTAGCCACAAGGACCTAT